TCAGTCTGTGGGTATGAATTTCTAGTTACTCTTCCAGATGTGCACATCTCCCACCTTTTCCCATTTTTGTGATTCAAGATCCTTTAGTCCCGTTTTGCATCTAGTGCAAGCAACTGTGAATTCCCCAATAAGAGAGTGAATGGCTCAGTGTTGAGGACATTTTTGAGTGGTCATCAGGATCTAGTCTATTTTTTCCTAACTATTGCCATCATCTAAGAGTGGAATAACATTATCACTGCAACTAAGTATCACACTTTTCAGGGAAGAGGTAAGATTAGAAAGAAACAGTCCCTGTATGCTTAGCCTGGAGAACTGAAGTTTTACAGTGTAGGGCATGCTTCTCTCCCAGTGGAACGGGGAAACGTGTTTCAAAATCATCTTTAATTAAACTTGGTTATTGTCGTGGTTTAACCTCAGTCGGCAACTGAGCACCACACTCGCTCACCCCCCACCCTGGTGGGATGGAGGCGAGAATAGGAAGAGTAGAAGTGAGAAAACTCCTGGGTTGAGATAAAAACAGTTTAATAATTGAAGTAAAATATAATAATAATATAGAAAGCAAGTGATGCACAGTACAATTGCTCACCACCTGCCTACCGATGCCCAGCCAGTCCCCGAGCAGCGGCCCCCCCGGCCAGCTTTCCCCCAGTTTATGTACTGATGTCCCTTTGGGCAGTGGGGGTCAGCTGTCCTGGCCGTGCCCCCTCCCGGCTTCTTGTGCACCTCCAGCCTTCTCAGTTGGTAAAGCATGGGAAGCTGAAAAGTCCTTGACTAGTGTAAGCACTGCTCAGCAACAACTAAAACATCGGTGTGTTGTCAACATTGTTCTCATCCTAAATCCAAAACACAGCACTGTACCAGTGGTTAATGGTACAGGTTCCTTCCTACTGGGAAGGAAATTAACTCTATCCCAGCCAAAACCAGGACAGTTATAAACAAAGCAAGGTTTATAGAGAAAAGTATTGTCTTTCTGTAGACCAATTAATATAACAAACTTCCCAAGCTTTTGGTACTACAAAGACCATTCTGATCTGAAGCAGAGACAACAAACTTCAAGCTAACTACTACTATTATGCTGATGGTGTCACCTATGTGTGCAGCTATCCTTCTGGAAAGTGAAAGCGTGTGTGACAGTTGCAGCTTGCCTCCTTCCCGCCTGCCCCCAAAAGCTAGCCAAACTATTGTATGTTTCCTTTTCAGCTAAGCTTCAATTAATTCTGACCCTACAGCCTGCATCTGTAGAATAATCACAGAAATGGGAAACGCTAATATGTGTCTTGGGAGGCTGGCTCTCCAGTCCTGTCTGGTTTAATGATACAGCACATTTGGAATGATGTAACTGAATACAAACTCAGCATGCTTATCCCCAGCATCCCAAGTATTCTTGTTTATAATGACTGTTTTTACGCTATTTGAAGTGGTACAGTTTAAAGAAATGAGAGTACCCATGTAGGAGCCCCTGATTGTAAAAATGAGTATGGCAATAAAAAAATATTTGTTTGGGTTTATCTACTCATTGGGGGAGTTGAGATAATAATCCACCATCTAATACGTGCTTATCCTGGGCCAAGGTTTTAACAGGTTATGAGCAGATGACTTTCCTTGACTGACTGACCACGTTGCGTTGGTATTCATTCTGTTTACGTTACATGTCTGGTTATCTTTTCCATTTGCAGAATCTATGAAGTGTTTGATGTATTTGTATAAACAGTTTGATTCCTGAAAATATGTTCTGAATTAGATGCCGTTACTGTACAACAATACACTAACAACATTCTGAGATCATTTAAAGCCCTTTGTTTAATAACACAGTGAATGTTATTAGACTGTTACAGTAAGTAAGTTAACATTAAAAAACAGCTTGTAAAAATGAAGAGTTTTGGAATTTTAGAATTATGGAGGAAATCGAATTGGCGCATCTGTTTCTGTCTTTAATCTTTCAGTGAAATGTTTTCCCGTTGATTCTTGACAAAAGTGTTTCCCATCAGATCAGGCATTCGGCTTTCAGTTTTGACAACCTCACCTCTAAAAATAATTTCCACTGCAAATTTTGAGATTGAATTTGAAAACATGGAATTAAAACTTTCTGTTCTTTTTGTTTGCCTTTCAGTTACAGTACTTAAGAGTCACAAATTGCTTCTTGCAGCCACAATGACTGGAAATGTTTCATTTCCTCTGAAATGTAGTATTTTCTAAAAGCTAGTGTTTTCATGGAATTGCATGTCTTCGGAATAAAAATAAAAATTATTTAGAAACTTTTGTAAGATCATCAAACCTGTTAACATAAACAGTATACATTTTTCTTCCACTTCCCTCTGTTCCCCACAGTTATTTGTATTGGAATTTAGTCTGTACAGAGAACTCTTCCTTTGCTGCTGGAGCAGCCGAAGCTGTATTGAGCTGCTTAGTGTAAATATCTTACGTAAAGCTGTACCATGTGAAGGCATATAAAGTGTAAGTACAGGTGTAGGGTATACAATGTATTGTATAATTTGAGAGTGTAAAGGAGCCTGCATGGGAGCTGTTGCTTATATCATGTTCAGGACTTAGGAAAAATAGGAGGTAACAAGACCCAGAAAGATCTGTGCTTATATTCTCTTACTGCCCATATTCCTCTTTGTCTGTGACAGTTATGCTTCCTTGTGTCCTGTCCCAAAGCTCTTCCAACTGAGTGGCAAAACTGTTGGCTTTCGAATGTTGAAGTAGTTCCAGGTATGCTGTCTACAAGAAAAGTGCTCCAAAACTCAGAAGGATAGAAGTCTTCCATTGGGAAAGCTTGTCTATTGCAAGGATTTATGCATTATTCATATACATTTGTTTTCCTTTGAAGTACTACAAACGTTTGGTCTATTTGTAATATTTTTAAGATAATTTTGAACTGTTCCATTATATAGTTTCAAATATGGTTTGTTATTTTCCAGTTGTTTCAAGATTGGCAAATGAGACAACTGCCATTCAAAAGAAAATAATTACAAACATTATCTCTCCTTGAAAAACAGGTCTATGCTTTGCATCTGTATCTATATATAAAGTTTCTGTAGTCAATAGAAAATGATGCAAGTTAACATGTAGCATTTGATATTTTGAATTTTCTTGATGTATCAAATACTTGTTCGTTGTTGTAAGTGCTGAACCACAAATAATTTACTGGCTTTCTCTGTAATATGCAGTGTCTGCTAACTTTGAAGTTCAGTAGTCAACTCAAAAGTTTGCTGGAGCTGACTAATGATTCACCAGAGATTTTTGAGAGATATTTTGTCATCAATTTAAAGCTTGGAGAGGTTTGCTGTTGCAGCCATCTGGTAATTCTTGGTTCTCTGGAGGAAAGAGAAGCCTTTTGATAAAACAGATCAAAGCATTCTGCTCTTTCAGTGACTGATACCTATAAGTAACTTAGAAGTTTCTCAAAATGACTTCACAATGCCTGTCTCATTTGCCAAACTTTTGCATTCTAGTTACAATACAACAGTGGTCATGAATTATATTTTAACTATATTTAAATCATTATTTAAATACTTCTGTTCATGGTTAATTTACAGATCTCAGTATTTTGTAAACTCAGAGATTTCAAATTTGCTGAATATGCTGTCATGATTAATAAAATTGATGCTAAATCTTGTTCTTTGTCTGTACTAACTGTACGGGTAAGGGTACTCTCAAAGACTGTACTTCTGCTATGCCATAAGCCTAAGATACAGATGTACCTCTTAGACTGTAGGTGATGTACAAGTATAGTGTAAAAATATGTATCATACCATTTCTAGAAGTAATTCTGTTAGCAATTGGAGTTCTGGCGTGGGGTTTGCAGATGTTTGGCAGTGAAGAGCAAATATGGGGAGAGAGAGAGTTAGGACAGGAAGTGTGTGCTGCAATGTCCGCTTGAAACGAGACCAATCTAACGCTGGATTGTACATATACATTTGAGATTTGTCTGGAATCAGGATGTTGTTTCTATTCCATCAGACATTCCAGATGTGCAATTGCCATGACCGCCCATGTCCAGTCTTCTCAAAGAGCGAGTTTATTGCATCACAAGTGCGGCACAAGCAGCCAAAACAGAATGATGAAATTGGCTTTTACCTCGCAAGTTGTTTAGTTAAAGGATGTCTGAGTGAGAGTTGGTGCTGTGTTACAGTAGAAGAAAGGGAAGGCATTAGCTTGTAATGCACCATACCTCTGTGCGTGAAAAAAGGCAGTATTCTCTTGCTAGGGCTGAGTTAGTGCACAGCGGAACTAAGGAGATGTGTTTGTGCCGTTCACTCTTCCTTACATTAAAGGTCATTGTAATGACTCGTGTGCTGACGAAAGAAAATAATTAAACCTCGTATGTCACACTGTCCTCAGTTGAAGCCTATCAAGGAGTTTCAGAAATAGTTGATGTGTCTTGGGATGTAGCCTGTATCATCCTAACAACTATATATAATGTTTATTAATAGGTTAGCCTTATCATTTAACCGTTCAAATGACAGATGTCGATGCATATTAGGTAGTTACCACAAGTTCTTCGAACTTGCTGTTCTTTACATTAGGTAGTTTGGAAAGAGAAAAAGATTTCGGAAGAGGCTGAGTTTTTAAGGACTTAATAAATTTAAAATGCAAACTGGATGACTAATATGGTACTAAATTCTCAGAAAATAGAATGATGGGAGTTTGGTGAAGGAATAGCTAATTTTTCACACGTTAAAATTTGCCTGAACTCAGATTTAAAAGTGGCGTATAGATAGCAGAAGAAAATTCCACGTACTTGTGCTTGTTGTTATTGTTTAAACTTTTCAGTGAGCTATCCAAGATAGGTCTGGTGCTCTTGTTTCTCATTAAGCTCACGAACAATGGTAAATTTGTAATTCCATACTTCATAAGCTTCCACAGTTTTATGTCCTGCCTGCTGTATCTCTGAACCAGATGCATATGCTTACCTGATTGTTTACCTCCTTGTCTGCTTGACATGTGCTTCCTAGCAGCTACAGTTGAACATTTTTTCTTCTTTGTTTTTTTTTCAGTGTGGGAACTTTGCTGTTTTGGTGGATGTTCATATTTTGCCTCAAGGCTCCAGTAAAGACACCAGCTGGTTTTCAGATCATGAGAAAGAGGTACAACAAATATCAATTCTACTTCAAAAGCATGTGGCTGCAGGGAAAAAGTTGGATTGCCTTGAACTGCTCAGAATTTTTCAGTGTTATGAGAATATTGTTAGTTATACCTAACCGTCAACGGTTGCTGTGGGACCCCTAAGTCAACCATATGTGCTTTTTGGGTCACTAATGACCACTTTCAATTTTCCTTTTAATTTTACACTCTGTGTGTGTGTGCATACATGCATGTGTGTGTGCTGTTTTGGTTCTTCTCACTTAACTTTTAATTTTAAAAACGTATTTCTCATGAATGTTTGTAAATAATCCTGAGTGATATAAAACAGATTGTGACAGGTATAATTTTTGCAGAGCTTGTTGGTGAAATATCTTTCTATTATTTGTTTTTTCTCGTTCCGAGGAGTGTGAATGATGTTGCATTTAGAGAGTGCAAGAAAACATAACGAGTATGCATGATAAACTATACTGGAACCATTGTATCTTATGAAAAGAAACTCCCAATCTTTAAGTTTATCATTTGTATGTCTTGGCAACAGATGAAATTGTGGAAAATCAGTGCATCAGTGACCAGCAAAATTACGAATGTAACTTTCATCAGATTCTGTGTGATTTCTGCTACGACCTTGTGATGAGTTACTGGCGGGAGTTTTCCCCTACTTCAGTCTGTGTGGGAACTTGAGAAGTTCCCTATTGAAAATGAATGCAGGACATGTTTCAAATGCCTGTGGACTTTCCCGCAAGTCTCTGTTACGGTAATTTTCAGCAGATAGCTTTCCTAATAATGGCACAATTAACTTGTCACTGCAGAGCATCCCCGTATGTCTCAAAGTAATATGTTTAAATAAAATTAAAAGAAACAATAAATTAATATCCTGAGGGAGTGAAAGCAGAATATTTAACAGCATGTGGTTCACCCGATTTCTGCTTTATTAAGCGGAGAAAGAAGAAAATAGGGGAAATCTTTTAGACTTCTTTTTTCTGACTAAATGAATACTCATTACCCCTTCTATTTACAACCAGTTTTCCTATCCTGGTTATCTGACTTTCAAGCGTTTTCAAAATGTATTTTGTAAGACTGCCAAAACAAAAGATACGAATTTCAGGAAATTAGATCATGATTGATTTAATAAAGAGGCATGACAGGGCAGCATTCATTACGTTTCCGTGACCGCACATTTTGAGTGAAGTACAAAGGTTGCATATTTTTGACAACCGAGAAGTGTGATTCCAATAGCTTTACAATTCGCTTCCTAAAAGTCCTGTGCAGAATCTTTGTTGAAGTGGGAAGAAAAAGGTCAGTAAGGTATTATAGGTAAATTACGCATACATGTTTTTTTTATGAGAGCTTTTACATATTCATCGCAAACAGTTTTCTACATTTTGTTGTTTCCAAATTCTGGAAAATGCTAATGGTGGTACAGCCCTCTTTGCTTGTCTGTGGGAAAAGCGGATGCCTCTTAGACCCCTTGTAACAGAAACACGATTTCTGCTGATCCCCTGCTTACCCGGGGTGAAAGTCAGCGGCTGCTGTTTGTAGCAAATGGAGCCTGGCGAAGCGGTCCCAGGCAGAAGGAGGGAGCAGTGCCGGCCTGTCAGCTGCCAGCTCCCGCTGGAGCATGGGTCGCGTAGAGCAGGCTGGGAACTAAATGAGTGCCCGTAAGCATGAGGCTGGTGTAGGAAAATACAGTGCACGTTGTCTGACTGGGCACTGTAAAGACCACAGTTCGCACACTGCTGTCACATGCGTTGTATGTAGAGTCGTCTTGGGATTGCTGCGAGGTGCAAACTGAGGCATTTGGGAGCTTTTCTCTCTTTCTACCCTTCAAATTTCCCTGCCCTTTCTGTCCCGTCTATTTTTCCCTGGAATAACAAAGTTTTATCTTTGCACTTCAAGAAACGTTTATTAAACTGATTTCTGTTCATGTCATTGCTACGATCTCTCCGTATGCATATAGAAGGTCTCAGTTAAAAGTTCTTTTTAGCGGTGGAAAGTACATAGAGACGATTCTCTTGAAGCCTGCTCTTGTTTATGCTTTCTTAAATATAGGTCTGTGTAGTTCTTTGTGGAGAACCATTTAAATAATATTTCCACAAGTTACAACAATTAAAATATTTTCCATGTAAATCAAGGAAGTGCATGCTAATATGTATTGTTGCAGGAGGAACCAAATGCACACTATGTTTCCGCTGCTTTCTAGACCTTTTTATTCTAATCTGAACGCATAGTCCTGTGAAGGAATGTGTAATGAGATCACTTTAATGAGTTAAACAGAAGAATAAGTAAATATAGTATTTTATAAATGGTACTCTTCAAGCAGGAAGGAAAATGTATTTCTTACTGTAAGGAGAAAATATTGTTTGTGGTTGACCAATATATGTGCATTGCTTTCATTTAGAGCAATACGTTAAAAATTAGTTGCTCTGCATACTTTCTGCGTTAATCAAAAGTAAATTTCAAGTCAAGATATTTTAGTTTAGGTAGTGCTAATATAATTTCGTCTATTGTCCAAACACTGTAAAAAGGTAAAATGATGTTTTTGTGTGCCACAAAGCATCATTTCTGTGAGCACATAGTTATGCACAGTGGAAAATGAGAACGCTGAGGGAAAAGTCTCAAATATGTGTGTATGTATTAATCTGAAAACTTATTCTGGTATTCAAGAGATTAATATTTTGCTTTTACTCCAACTTTTTTCCTATGGTTATTCTGGCTGAAGGGTTTGTTCTTCTTGAATTGTATGTGGTTTTTATTGTGCTTTGCTGAAGGAAGTATGAAAGATATGAACGTTTTTTTTAGGAGCAGAAAAAATCAAAATGAACTAGAGAAATTAGGTTGCTGTGACCTAATTAACTCTGAGCCTTCCCCCCAAAATTACACTGAATTAAATCAAAATATCTGTTGTGGTTTATGAGGATTCTTGCAGAGAAATAGTGTGTTGACAATTCCTGGGAGGACTTTTACTAATGTTTTGCTTAAATACCTAATGTTATGATACATTTTTAACATGTATTTTTTTCCTATTTTGCATACAAATGAAACTAATTTGCTGTTCAGAAATTATTAGTATTGTAATATAATGTATTTATCTGCCAAGTGAGAATTTCCTAATGTACTTCCTCTCTTGTTTTGGAGCAAAATTGTTTGATCCTCCCTGCCTTGTTCCCATTCATTTCCTAAATGATGTGCTTCTCACCTCTGTGTAATACCTCAGTACTTAATTGCAGATAATGTTGTTCCTTTTTATGTGAAAGGGAGTGATTTTGTGTTGATTTCTGCTGTGTGTCTGTGGGCATGTATGTAAATTTAGATCTAAGTAGGCCAATGGTTACTCTTTCAGGAGGTCTGCATGCTGCTAGAAGAAGTTGTTGCTTCAAGGGTCAAACATTACTTGGAAGCGCCTAAACAACATGGTCAATGGAAATCAATGGAACGTGCACCATCTGGTCCTTTGTTTCTTACCGGTAAAATAAATTATTTAACTTACTGTGAAATAAAGTAAGATAAAGTATGGTGGAACCTGCTGTGCTTTATTTTTTCCATGAGAAATTTCCCATCGGGAAAGCCAGTAAGCCTGAAATAGCTGGTCTTGGGGTCTGAAATTACTTTAGCTATGTTATTGAAAAAATTAAGTGGGTTTTAATTTTCTGTGTTATTGAAGAATGAACATAACGCTTGTACTATTAGTATGAGAGCCTCTCATTAGAATTAAAAAGAATAAATGGTATAATCCTCGGTCCTCCAAAATTGATGGAAATCTTGCTGGTTTAAGTCTCCTTTCCACTTGAACGTTTAGTTTAGAAGTTTTTAATTTAGAAATAGTATCTTTACTTCTCCCTCCTCTAACAATCTGTTCAGTCTTAAAAAGTTGCTATGATGTGATAAACGGCATTTGTCATTTCACCCGTGTTACTGCAGGTTTGGCAGTAGTGTCGATGACCTTGGGAGTAATTACTGTGCAGAAGAGAACAGCAGTAAGAGCATTTACCCAGCTGGAACTTTTTGTGTGTGTGTGTGAGGGTGGTGAGACTAATAGGTGCAATTTCAGTACACGCATGTTTTAAACTAAAGATAATGATCACTACAGCTTGTGCTCTAATGTTAGATCAGCTTTGGGGCTAAGTGGCTTGCCAGTTTTTGTTTAATGTTACTTCACTAGCTGTTGGGGTCATCATGGTGGGTTTTACAGTTGATAGGCTTATCTGTTGGTGTTATATCACACAAGCAATTTATTTTTAAATAGTTCTTAGGAAATAATGACTTTTTTTTTTATTACTAGCCTGGAGCATGCTATAAACTTGTAACAGAAAAGAAGGGCTGCAATAGTAAAGCCCTGTGCTGGCTATGGTTTCTCACATTTCCTTAAATATATTGAAATAGATCTCTACTGAAATACGAATTCTGCAATGAATGTAATTACATACTTAAAATACACAATCAGTATACTGATAGAAATTTTTTAATTCAGTGTATATTATAGTAACAGTTTTAATTCCGAACAAATTCTTTGCCTCTCAATGTTTTCAGTTATTGAAAAGGTATATTCCTATAGAATTCTAGTTGATGGTTGCAGCTTTAAACACTATTATCAATACTCATGAGTGTTTTTAATAAAGAAAACACAGGTTAAATACTGTATGGTTGGCTTATTGCAAAATTTTAGGCATATATGGGAGCCAGATTGTTACGGCATGACAGGAGGTTTTTTTTCCGCACACAAGAACACAACACCGCATAAGCAAAAAGTGCTTCAGGACACTAAAGAATTTCCAAACCCTTTTTTTCCTTGCAAGTTGTAACTACATTTTATCCCTTTAAAATATTATTAATGTTTATAAAACACTTGAACCTTCAGATCCCCGTAGTCTTCTGGTTTTGAGTGAACAAATAGAATTTTCTTAGAGTGAAAACAGAGGGACATTACAGAGGGTGGGATCAGAATTTCTGAGATTTGTTGAGGTTTTTCCGTGTTTTCTTTTACTGAGTGGTATTTTTTGTTATTTATTTTTTAAAGTTTCCTGCCTCAGTAAAAAGTAGGTTTTCAGAAACAACGATTTTGAAAGATAAAACTGCCAGACATAATAATAGTTTTTATGTATGCAGACAGATGCAATGCTAATTTGAGGGTGTTTGTGAGATTTTAGGGTCTTATATTTTCTTTTATATCATGAACTTTTCAGTAAAAATACTGGTATGCTGTCCCAGGGTTGTGAACTGATCTTCTGCTTGACTCTTCCCCTTACTTCCTGAAAATGAAAAACTTAAGGATATGCATTTGAGGAGGTCATCAGTACTATCTGTGACAGTTTTAGATTAAAGAATATTTACTTTGGATGAGGCAGAATTACTGTTAATCTCACTGTCATTAATTAACGCTAAGCAAATAAAGGAAGAAAACAGTCTCTGATAACGAACATTCATGTTGAACTTAATTTCCAAATCTCTCTCTTTCCTCTTCGCTCAGCCTGCTTTGCTCAGGGCTGGAATTTTAGGAAAGGAGTGCTTTGTTCAGGTCCAAGAATCAAGTTTATTCAAGTTACATTCAAGTCTGTTCTTACCTGAGAAGGAAATAACAGAATAGGTGGGTGTTCACTGGGGCAACTGGGACCTACGTCTGAGGGACTGACCGTTTTAGGTGAGCCACAGGTCTAATAGTCTTCAGCAGCTATCATCACTCAAATGTGGCTCCAAAACCTCTTGTGTTTTGCCTTCCTCCCTAGGATCACAGGTTCTGTTTGTAGAGTACAAAGATATGTTTTTGTGTTTTTTCACAAACAGATGAAGTGCAAGATAGCTGGCCAGTGTTTGGCTTACAGTGTTTTGTAGTATACAAAGAAATGTGCAAGCTTGGTATGTGGCTAACTACATACACGTACTGTAGGTGCTGCTGCTGAAATGTTCAAGCTTGCAGCTGTTGTTGCATTTGGAGGTTATTAAAAGTTTTTGAGCTCTTCAAACTGCATGTGGTTTCTTTTGCTCAAAGTTATGCAAGTCTGTGTCTAGAGTTTCACTGCTGTAAAACCCCCGCTATTGTAAGGAAGAGTGTATCTACAGAAGGAACTTTAGGGTGCTTATTAGCTGGTTATTTACTACTTCGAGTATCCCAGGTCAGCATTCCACCCCTATTTGAACTAGCATCTTTTCAGGTGAATTTTAATCTGTTTGCTCTCCACGTTGCAGGATGTATTCAAAATTTATTAGAATCAGAATTATTAGACCAGTATTAGTAAGATTTTAGACTACCTCTAATATCAAAACATGTTGTATTAGGATTTTCTTCAGAAATAGAAGCCAAGCTACCTTACTTTGATGAGCACATCTTATCCTGCTGTCTAGATCTGTTGAGCAGAGAAGACTGCTGTTAAACTGGCTACCGTAACTATTTTGAAGAGAAAATTTTCACCTATCACAATTTCTTATTAGTATTAATGTCATATTATGTTTAATATTAATATTATTTAATACCACCTTTCAGTCTTGTGGCACATAATATAAATATCCAGGCATGTTACTTGTTAATTTGCATTTCTTTTTCATTTAAGTTACACCCACACAGCAGTGTGTGGTGGGTCGCATACCATCTCATTAGGAAATCTGTGGGTGTTACACACAGGAGAAGAAAGAAAGAAAGAAAGAATGGAAAAATGAGAGAAAGTAGCCAAGACAAGCAAGTTCTTCCTATTCTCCTTTCTGTCTGAAGAATTTCCCCACCCCTCCCAAATGACCAGTATGAACAATTTGCCAAAGTAAGCTTTAATTTAGTCTTTGGACATAGGCTTTGGTATAAACTCTGTTTCCTGTGTTTAATTAATGTCCAAACGTGTTTGATTTTGGGTTGTTTTATTTTTTTAAGAGAAAATTAAAATAGGGTACATTTTTCAAAGATTTCATTTTGCCTGCATCCAATTTTCATGGCCAAAATCATGCAAGAAGGGCATCGATGAGGTATCGTTCACTTGCGTTATTTGAAGTTCAGTGAATGTAAGCCATCCAATAGCAAAACCCATGTATTAATGACTTTCTCTCATTCATTAAAACAACCCCACTACTTCACTTTTCAAATGTATAATCTTTAAAGTTAGAACTTATTTTTTAATATATATATGCGCCATACGTTTTCACTTTGCGCTACTTGCGCTCCTCAGTATCACATACTTGTTTTTAGCGATGATGTCAAGCATCTTAGTGTGTCATAATGCTCACCTGCTGTAGACTTAAACAAGCTAAAAGCAGAGCCTGTTTTTTCATGTTCCACAGAAGGTGGCTGTTTTTGATTAAGAGCAGTGAGAATTAATAACAAGAGGCTATAAAGAGGACGGAGTGGAGATGTTAAACACAGAATGACAAAGGGAGGACTGTGGAAAATTAAGGAAGAAGGCAAAGTTTACATGGGCACAGAAGAAACAAAAAGGAGGATGAGGGAAGAAAATAGGGCTGGTAGAAATGTCCACGTTAGAAATGGAAGGAAGGAAGAAGGTATCTTGTAAACTGACCTTCTTCCCCCACTTGAGGGAGGGGTCAACTTAACTATGTTTATCTTACAAGTAATTTTCAGATCTTTTCTCGTTCCTTCCCTAGCATCCTTGTTGTTTTTCTTGGCTTGAAGGTGGAACATTTTTGCTCTGATTTCAGATCTTTTTATTGTACAGTCTCTTCTACAGTTAAAATAATTAGAGAGCATGCTGTCACATGGCACAATGAGCTCCCAGCTTGATTTTATCTGCTTTCTCTGGGACTGTGTATATTTTTAATGTATTTTTAACCTAGTTTTCTAAGGAAATGGGGCTTATTGTGATCATGTTTTCTCTGTGTGTGTCTTGTCTGTCCATCTTTTCCCCCAGTTGCTTTTTGCGAATGTGATTGAACTTTATTAACAGGTAGAAGTCTCAGACACTAAATTTTCAGACATTAACTTCTGATAAGCTTAATAAAATGAGAAAGTGGAAGAAGTACAGTGCTATTATGAATAGTTCCGCCTTACAAAGATCTGGAGTCAAAGTTCACGTTTCATTTAATATAAAAGAATGCATAAGATGCAATTTCATAAGAAAATACATTTCTGTTCTGTTGCTTATGAAACTGTTTGGCTCTTGTAAGCACACAAAAAATACACAATAAGTCATGATAGTAAATATTCCAAACTCTTTTGGCCTTGCGTTTCAATTTGAACATTATGATGTTTTTAAGGAAAACATCCTTTTCTGACTGCCCTCCTTTGCTTTAGGAGTGTTCGCTATTACTGCAGAACGTGAAATGTGTAAGGTGTTCGTAGGGTATGTTCCAGGTTACAATCCTGTAGCAGCAAAACTGATTTATTTCCAGCCTCCCAGCTGCTAACTCTTACTACTCTGCTGTGAAACAGTGATTTTTTTTTTTTTGTTTTTTTTTGTTTTAACTAGCATCATTTCACCTATCTTGCTTAAAGAGGCGCAACTGGAGGGAAAGTAAGCTATAGCAGGTAAGC